GCAAGTACATTTGCCAACCCAATCCAACATTCGCAAAATAGTGCAGGCTCCATTTTTTTGGTAGAAATTTCTCTGTCATCAACAACATCTCTTTCAAGAAGTGTAGTAGTGGTATAGCCTGGTGGCTTGTCAATTTCCGTAGCCAAACTTTCCCGACCAAATCCAATCTCGACAATGTGATATGCCTTTCTAATTCTCGACTTTTCAACAAAAAGAGAATGTGCACACAGCTGTACAACTTTCAAGTCGTCATCTACACTCTTGATTATTGCACATGAGTATGATACTGTCACGTCCAAAAAGAGTGAGAATAGCTCATTACGCATGTCACAAGGAAAAGTGTTTTGATCTGAAACGTATTGGATGAAATACGTCTCAGATGACAATACAACTACAAAAATCAATGGTGTCCACCAGATTCTTTTCCTGTTAGACCTTGTAACAGAAGCTTTCAAATTACTGTTAGTAACAAGTATCGTTACAAGATTAAGAAGACCCTCAATCGTAGCAACAAAGGAGAAATCCCTAGGAATAAAAGCATTAGCAATGTCGCTGTTAGCTTGAGTTGGTACTTTCCAATAAAACTGCATATCATGAACAACAAGAGGTAATATTGATAGAGTAGCTCCAATATGGTCTGTTGAGGGTGAATAGTGAGCCTACTTCTAGCAAAATGATGCATCCCCTTGACTTACACAATGGATAAGCAATATGGTGAACAATACTAAGATCATTACACATCTCAAAGGAAATAGCGGGAACATCAAGAACAATATATACACCAGGATCAAATGGAAGGTTTAAGCATTTAGTTTTATGCATCAATGTGATCCCATCCATAATCAAGATGTCACTCCTAGATTCGGGGTACCTTGTTGTAGAGCCAAGATCAAAAGAATATGCATATTTATACCTGCCCATCGTATCATCAAATATAGTGCGTGCAGTGGTCACTGCTCTGGTAGGACCACAAAACGCTGCAAAATTGTTCTTCTCCGGCTTTGTTTCGAACATCTTGCAGCCAGACTCCATGTCCGGCTTCTGACCAGATTCGCTGACCCATAATTTTCCTTCAACGCCGCTCAAGCAAATAGCGGTATGTCCAACACAAGCTCCTGCTGCACCTTTGTCGATAACAAGTCTAACTGCTGACCCAGGATCTGTCAGATTTAGGAATTTTTCTTATCTATTGTATTGAATTCATTCATCTGTACAGTACATGTATTCTTATATACAAAGCAAATGGACCTAAGTGTAAAGAATGAATCTTCTAACTACCTACAGCTGTACTATTTCTATTTCCTACACTATAACTAACGTGTACGTGTCATTAACAAAATAAAACTGAAAGATGTTATTTTATTATCTCTAGAAGCTTCTGGTTGTCTTCAGAAAATTTCCTAGTCTTGGGCTGAAGCTGGTGTATTTGTTCTGGCCCAAAATAGTAAGAAGGCCCAAGACAATTAGTTGACCCAATTTGCTTCTTGCTTTGTATTCCATTATCAGACAAAGACTTATTTTCATAAGTCATTTGTTTTACTTTACTCTCTTTCTCTTGTCTGAAAAGCGATCCCTCCTTCAATTTAGGGTTTGGTAAAATTGAATCACCATCTCCAACACCCCCCCCCCTCAAGTTGGAAGGGGGAAACACACTCCCAACTTGTTGATGACAGAGTGATGAACAGAACCAGGGAGAGCTTTCGTAAAGATGTCGGCGAGCTGAGAGGTTGAAGGCACAAAATGAAGAGAAATCAATCCGGCCAAAAATTGTTGCTGGACAAAATGGCAATCTAGTTCGACATGCTTCGTCCGTTCATGGAAGACGTGATTTTTAGCTATGTGAAGTGCTGCTTGACTGTCAGAGTGAACAACCATCGGAAGAGATGGAGGAACAGAGAGGTCTTGTAGAAGACGCACCAACCAAGTGACTTCGAAGACAACTCGCATCATAGATCGGTACTCAGCTTCAGCAGAAAGGGAAACCAAAGCTTGCTTTTTGGATTTCCAAGAAATGGGAGAACCTCCGAGGCTGATAAAGTATCCACTAACGGAACGTCTAGTGTCTGGACAAGATCCCCAATCAGAATCGCAAAAAGCCAAAAGATTAAGGAAGGGTTTGTGTTGAAGAAGAGACCAAGCCCAGGAGTAGCAAGAAGATATCTAAGACAGTGAATCCCTGCATCAAAGTGAGATTGGCGAGGAGATTGCATGAATTGACTGAGACGTTGTACTGCGAAAGAGATATCCGGGCGAGTATGGGTCAAAAATTTAATTTTCCCATAAGACGTCGATAAATGGTAGGATCAGAAAGAAGCTGGCCAGAATCTACCTTTAGCTTGGAATATGGATCAAGAGGCGAAGAAGCAGGCTTTAATGATAGACAATCAAACTCTAAGAGAAGCTCCAAGGTAAACTTTCGTTGACTCAAAATTAAGCCTTGTTGTTCCCGTATGATTTCCATGCCTAGGAAGAAATATGCTTCCCCCAAATCCTTAATTTTGAACTCTAAATCAAGAAAAGTCTTTAAAGCAAGCAATTCAATAGGGTCATCATCGGTAAGATGTATATCGACAACATAAACAGCAACAATGGAAATAGCAGAATTTGTCCTCTTAAAAAATAAAGAATAATCGTTAAGGGAATGAGAGTATCCTTTGAAATTGAGGGATGCAGTGAGCTTGGAATACCATTGTCGTGAAGCTTGCTTCAGCCCATATAAAGATTTTCTTAACCTGCAAACATGATTAGGACTAGGACTAAGCATTCCTTGAGGTATTTTCATGTATACTTCTTCCTGCAAATCACCATGGAGAAAAGCGTTATTAACATCTAATTGAAAAAGAGACCACCCTTTTTTGACTGCCACTGCCATAAGACATCTCACTGTGGTCATTTTGACCACAGGGGAAAAAGTTTCTGTAAAATCAATTCCTTCTCTTTGAACATCACCCCAGATGACTAGCCTAGCTTTGAATCTTTCCACAGCACCATCTGACCTATACTTCATTTTGTAGACCCATTTACAAGGCAATGTCTTCATGCCCTTAGGCAATTCAACTATCTCCCAGGTGTTGTTAGCTTCTAAAGCTTCAAATTCCTTGGCCATAGCTTGCTGCCAACCAGGATGTACCACTGCCTGGCTATAGGTGTTAGGTTCAAAAATATGGGAAGTAGAATTCAATAGTTGTTGATTGGTAGAGGATAAGGCTGAAAAAGGCAAAATATTAGGCTCAATAGCTACTGCAAAACAAGTAGAAGTCAGGTTTGTCAGATAAACAGAGTTGCATATATAATCTGCCAGGTAGGAGGGAGTTTTGTGAATCCTAGTGACCTTCGCACAACAGGATGATCAATAAGTGGTGTAGAAAATATAGAAGAAGGTGAAGAAGTAGGGTTGGAAAGGACAGTAGAGGGTGAAAAGATAGTAGGAGGAACAGGAATAAGAGATGTGTGAGTAGGAGGAGAATGAGGAAGTGAAGAATCATCACAAACTGCAATTGAGGGTGTAGAAGGTCCCCCTTTATTGGGCAAAACAGGTTCAATAGGGGGAGCTGAAATAGAAAAAGTAGCCTGATTGGTACACAATGTAGAAAAAGGAAAAATGTTCTCATAGAAGACTACATCTCTGGAAACAAACATCTTCATGGTGCTAAGGTTTAAGAGCTTGTAACCTTTCTTTCCAAAAGGGTATCCCAGGAAGACACACCTAACAGACCTAGGATCAAATTTAGTTCTCTGAGAGCTAAGAGTAGAAGCATAGGTTAGATAACCAAATGCCCTCAGAGTGGTAAGATCGGGATCCTTGCCAAACAATATTTGGTAAGGGGATTTGAGACCTAATACCTTAGAAGGAAACCTGTTTATGAGAAAAGTAGCAGTTAAGAGACATTCCCCCCAATAAGCAATAGGAACATGAGATTGAAATAGTAAAGCTCTACTAGTTTCTAAAAGATGTTTATGCTTTCTCTCGACCACTCCATTTTGTTGTGGGGTGTTAACACAAGAAGTTTGATGTAGAATCCCTTGAGAGAAGAAAAAATCAGAAGAAGAGGAACTACTTCCTAATTCTAAGGTATTGCCAGATCTAATCATCTTAACTTTAGTGTGAAATTGCCTTTCTACCATAATAAGAAAAGATTTTAAGACATTGAAAGCGTTGCTTTTTGTTTTTAGCAGATAGGTCCATGTTCCCCTACTAAAATCATCAACAATAGTGAGAAAATACTTATATCCATCATGAGTTTGTTCCTTATAAGGTCCCCATGTATCTATGTGGATACTTTCAAAGATTGAAGTGGAAGAAATGATATTGGAATGAAAAGGCAACCTAGTTTGCCTAGCTTTAGAACATATATCACATGGATGAATATCATTAGGAATGGAAATAGACTGAAACGGAGATAAAATCTTCATATTTGAAAAAGGCATTTGCCCCAAACGTTTGTGCCAAAGGCTTACATCTTTAAACAAACTTACTGAACATGAAACTAACTTAGGAACATGTCTACTAGACTTATTACAAACTGAAGAGGGCTGAGGAACAGAAACTTTCTGAAACTTGAAGCTAGAGGAAATAGACTTTGGATGCAGTAGATATAGACCATCTTTGATTTCACCAACTACCACTGACCTCTTCATTGAAGGGCCTTGCAAAATTGTACCAAAGGCAGTAAATAACATGATACAACGAAGGTGTTTGGTAAGCTTATGAACAGATAATAGATTAAATTGAAAATCTAAAACATAGAGAACATTAGAGATGGTTATTCCTGGCAGAAGATGTACACTTCCAATCTGTTTAACTTTTACCTTGTGGGAATTGGGAAGCTTAACAGAGACTGGCATAGGAAGAGAAATGATGTTGAATAAGATGGAAAAATCAGATGTCATGTGTTCTGAAGCCCCAGAATCTATAATCAAAGACTTAGGGTGAACAAAAGAAAAATAGGAAATGGCATTAAGTTCTGACAGTGGTATACTTGCACAGTTGGCAACAGCTACTACCTTAGAAACATGATCACTTTTTGCCCAATTTGCATCTGTTGAAGCATTTGAAATAGCTGATTGTACTGCTCCTGTGAAATTGTGTTTGCTGAAGAAACTCCCTCTCCCCCTTTTAATGAGTATCCTGCATTTTCTTCAGTGATGGTTGCATTTCCATGTGCATAATTCTGAAATTTCTTGGACTTAGTGAACTTGAGATCTGCTGGAAAATCCACTATCCTGTAGCATTTGTCAATAGTATGGCCAGGTTTCTTGAAATAGTTACAAAATAGGTTGTTTCTCTTTCCAGCAAAATTTCCTTTGAACTTTCCTTCTATAGTTTTGTGATTGTTGACTTGTTGTTGTCCTTCCATGAAGGTTGATTCTGCAGGATGCATCCCAATGTGTATCTCTCTTTGTTTTTCATCTTGGATTAAGAGAGAATAATCTTGATTACCATTGGGTAGAGGAGTCATCATTAGGAAGTTGCTCTTGACTGGACCATATGCTTCATTTAGGCCCATCAGGAATTGGATTAATCTGCCATCCTGAAAAGATTTGAGGGTTTTTTCTTTCCCTCCACATGAATAGTTGCAAGAACAGGTGATACAGATATTGAGTGTATCTAATTCATCCCAGATTTTCTTCATTTTAGTATAGTATCCTGCTATATTAGTGTTTCCTTGAACAAGTTCATTAAGTTCTTTTTGGAGTTGATATAGTTGAGCTCCATTACACTGCCCAAACCTAGCTTCTAACTCCATCCATATATCTTTTGCAGTTTTGGAATACAACACACTATCAGCAATATCCCTAGAAAGAGAGTTTAAGAGCAAGGAAATTACCATGTCATTGCAACGATTCCAAGCTTTGGATGAAGGATCAGCCAGGTCTGGTTCTTTGATGGATCCATCAATGAAACCAAGCTTGTTCTTGGCTGAGAGTGCTATGACAATTGCCTTACGCCAACCACCATAGATTTTCCCGTCAAAGACTAAATTGACTAACACCATACCAGGTGAGTCTGATGGGAGAAGGTAGAGTGGATCTGAAGCATCAGAAACAAGAGTGTTTCGAGCAATCACTATGGAGGCAGAAGGCGTTTCTTCAGTTGGGTTAGTCATGAGAAATCTGAGCAGAAAATCAAAAGAGGTTGATGAGCTACCAGGGCTCTGATACCATGTCATATTTAGGAATTTTTCTTATCTATTGTATTGAATTCATTCATCTGTACAGTACATGTATTCTTATATACAAAGCAAATGGACCTAAGTGTAAAGAATGAATATTCTAACTACCTACAGTTGTACTATTTCTATTTCCTACACTATAACTAACGTGTACATGTCAGTAACAAAATAAAACTGAAAGATGTTATTTTATTATCTCTAGAAGCTTCTCGTTGTCTTCAGAAAATTTCCTAATCTTGGGCTGAGGCTGGTGTATTTGTTCTTGCCCAAAATAGTAAGAAGGCCCAAGACAATTAGTTGGCCCAATTTGCTTCTTGCTTTGTATTCCATTATCAGACAAAGACTTATTTTCATAAGTCATTTGTTTTACTTTACTCTCTTTCTCTTGTCTGAAAAGCGATTCCTCCTTCAATTTAGGGTTTGGTAAAATTGAATCACCATCTCCAACAGGATCAAATGGGATATGAAGTAAAATATATGGAGCAGCCACATATTCATAAGTTAGACTATGCCTATACGCTACACGACTGTCAGGCATTTCATCGAACAGTAAGGAAACAACTCCAATTTTCTCAAGGTTGGGAAAATAAAGCCAATGGACAGAGCTTCGTGCCACTTGAATTCTGACTTTGTATCCCCAGTAACAATTACAAGTGGTTGTGAATCAAGAGTTGCCGTCACGAAACCTGCTTCGGTTATTTTGTTATCCAAATCAGAGTTCAACTCAATGGATGTATCTTTAATCTTCGCAGATTTAACAGACAAAGTGGCAGCAATTGTAGAGTGCTCAAACTCTAATGTGTCGGGCCTTTTATTTGGGTTGTGGAGTAGCAAACACCTTAGAGAGGCAGTGAGGCATTTCGTCGAACACCAGTTCTGCAGTCATGTCTGAGTAGACATGTACTGAAACTGCAACTTTCATATTAGTCTCTTCATCTGTTAGTTCAGCAAATAGAATGGAGTCGCAACTCATGTCTGGTAAGAATGATTGATCTGGAACTGGAGGTGGAAAAGTAGGGCTCGGGGGTGGAAGGAGAGTCGGAGGGTATGGGGGAGGTGAAAGGGAAGCCACCCAATTGGTAGAGGAAGGACAATGAAATCACCAATGTAATGGATCAATATTTACTGAAGAAGAGAAAGATTGATTCCAAGGACAAACAATATGGGATACAAGAAAAAGGAACTAAAAAGGAAAACAAGAATGGAGGGAGGTTTCATAGTGCTCCAACAAGAGCTAAATCAAATTAGAGAAAAGACTCGATATTTCCATACTCTATTTCGTACACCCTCTTACTATATATAAGACTTGTATTCTTTTCAGCTCACTAGTCTTGTCTCAACCTGGATCCCATATCACACGTTGGGTTTTGCTCAATTCAGCAACTGGCCCAAGTATCTTAGCTTCTACCCCAATAACATAATCAGTAATGGGCCTATTCATTACAGAAAGTATCCAAGATAAAATATACAACAACAATAATATAACCAGTATGATTTTACAAATAGAGTATGAGAAAGAAGTTGGGATATATACTATTAATCATGGGTTTGGTTTAGATATAGTATTTATTATGAAATAATTGTTTATTCAGTTTTAATAAAATTTTAAATAGATCATATATTAGTTTGTGTCCTTTGCTTATATAGTAGATGATTTAGTGTATAGAGTTTAGCTTATACACGGAAGATTAAATCATCGGTTCTTATAAGTATAAAGTTTGAGTTCACAATCTAATGATGGAATTGGACAAACCATCAGGAATGATTGTAGCACAAGATTAAATATAATTTATCTTGATTGTGGGAATGGTTTAATTCCAATTTCTTGTGCTAGTATATTTTGTATGTATTGAACGGACCAAATATAAAGTTTGAGTTCACAATCTAATGATGGAATTGGACAAACCATCAGGAATGATTGTAGCACAAGATTAAATATAATTTATCTTGATTGTGGGAATGGTTTAATTCCAATTTCTTGTGCTAGTATATTTTGTATGTATTGAACGGACCAAGTATAAAGTTTGAGTTCACAATCTAATGATGGAATTGGACAAACCATCAGGAATGATTGTAGCACAAGATTAAATATAATTTATCTTGATTGTGGGAATGGTTTAATTCCAATTTCTTGTGCTAGTATATTTTGTATGTATTGAACGGACCAAGTATAAAGTTTGAGTTCACAATCTAATGATGGAATTGGACAAACCATCAGGAATGATTGTAGCACAAGATTAAATATAATTTATCTTGATTGTGGGAATGGTTTAATTCCAATTTCTTGTGCTAGTATATTTTGTATGTATTGAACGGACCAAGTATAAAGTTTGAGTTCACAATCTAATGATGGAATTGGACAAACCATCAGGAATGATTGTAGCACAAGATTAAATATAATTTATCTTGATTGTGGGAATGGTTTAATTCCAATTTCTTGTGCTAGTATATTTTGTATGTCTTGAACGGACCAAATAGAGATAAGTATTTTATACTGACTTAATAAAATAAACTCTCTAGCCATTAAATGTACTTATACTCTTAATCTTGATATAATTATTATTAGCTGTGTACATTATTATTATTTTAATTTATTAAAAGGCGAGATTCTTTCGTGGGTCAATATGCCTGGTAAATTGGATAATTATAATGTACATTGGCAAAATAATAGTTAGTTGATGGAATCCATGTCTCGGTTTAGAGATTGATGATACACATTTATGAAAGCTTATAAATTTTCATGTGTAAACCCGACCGGTGAATTTTATATCTGACACATGAAATAAGTTAAGCGAAAGTCTAAAGGAAATAATTAATAAATTAAATCATCAGTAATTTAATTTAATTGATTAGTATCTGAATCTTAACATGGGGAGTTAAATAAGATTTAATGGATGAATTTCTAAATTGAATAAGGAGTGCAATTACAAATTTTTAGTGGAATTATTCGTAATTAATTATGGTGGATATTAATTTCGAAAATTACAAATTAATTCCATAATTGAAATCCTTGTTAATTAAATTCTGTGGTCCCTACTGTGCCTAAAGAATAGAAAATAAAGGAATCCTTTTTCTGGTGGAAAAGAAAACCCAACAGGTTTTGGAAAAGGGTTTTAACCCTTCAAACTTATACTATGAATACATAAGGTTTTCCACCTAAAGAAAGTAGACAAGGTGGCCGAATTTCAACCCCTTTTTTCCTAGAAAAATTTCGCCTACACGAAATTACTATTTTAGGATATTATTTGGATAACACAGTAGAAGACCGTGGATGGTTCGGAGATCATGATCGTGCGGGTGGTAGAGAGTTCATTAAGTTGCTGTGGAATTGAAAGCTCACGTGATAAAGGAGCTTTGTTCACGCTTCACGAGGTAACCCGTGAAATTCCGTTTATACTAGTTGTCTAGATTACATGTGATTTTGATACTGGAATTGCTTCCGCTGCTTATAATAATCCTGTCACAACCCTAAAACCGATTCGGTCGTGATGGCGCCTATCGTGAAACTAGGCCAGCCGACACAACTCCCGAATTAACCATTTAATCAATAAGAATTGTTTTCAAGCCTTTAATTAATTAGATATCTCATAATGTAAGTCTAAATGAATAGTGCAGAATAAATATATAAGCCCGACATCAGGGTGTCACAAGTCACGAGCATCTACTAAGGTATGAATACAACATGAGTCTAAGAATGTACTAAATACAATCTAAGGAAGACAAGAGAGAGAAAAGCAGTGCTGCGAACGTCGGGCAGCTACCTTGCTAACTCCAATGATTCTGCCACTAAGCAATCAACACCCGTTACCGGGTTCAGAACTACCTGAATCTATACACAAGGTATAGGGAGTAATGTGAGTACGCCAACTCAGTAAGTAATAAAAGTAAATGAAAGCTGAGCAGTAAGAAAACACGTAATCCACGTCATAACACTACAACAAATGTAGATCATTTTCAAAGCAGTACACAAAATCATTTACCTCATAAATCAAGCTCAGTTCCAGTAAAAACCTTTTTAAAATAACTTTCAATGTTTCCAAACGAGTGATAAAAACAGTGAGTAAAAATGATAGAACATAAACAACCTCTCGGGCAAAACATGTACCCTAAACCACCCCTCGGGCATAATATCAGCAGAACTAGCCCCTCGGGCTACCTCACAATCACTCGTAATCATCCCCTCGGGCATAACATAAATCAAGAACCGTCCCTCAGGCAACATGGATCAAGAACAGCCCCTCGGGCTTCAATATGAAACAACAACAGCCCCTCGGGCTACAACACATCACTCACACTAGGTACCCGTGCTCACTAGGGGTGTACAGATTCCGGGAGGGGCCCCTTACGGCCCAAGCGCAATATCAAGCCATCTCGTGGCATGATCAATAGGCTCTCAGCCTCATATCAAGCAACCTTGTGGCGTACAACTCAGGCCCTCGACCTCATAATCATGAATCAGCTCAATACCGTTGCGACGTACAGCCCGATCCCATAATGACCTCACGACACAGGCCCTCGGCCCAACTCAGTCAAAAATCTCTAAAAGCCACTCGGGCACAGTAAAATATGATGCTCAGCTCATAATATCATTTAAGATGTGAAAACAATATAAACATGGCTGAATTATAAAAACAGTAGAATATAGTATGATTGAGTACAAGTATAAAGTCAAAACAGTAAGGAATAGTAGTAAAAATCTCCTAAGGGTCCAAAATGGTTGGCACGAGGCCCAAATATGGCATTCAACCCAAAATATGATGATAGCAAACAGTTTTCAATCAAATACGCAGTAAAACAGTTATTCGGGATGGACTAAGTCACAATCCCCAATGGTGCACGACCCCGCGCTCGTCATCTAGCGTGTGCGTCACCTCAAAGTAGCACAACAATGAAATCTGGGGTTTCATACCCTCAGGACAAACATTTACCGTCATCACTTACCTCAATCCAGTCCAGACTCTAGCCCGCAATGCCTTTGCCTCTCGACTCGGCCTCTG